GGACCACTAGGCAAGCCAGGTACAGGGGAAGACATAGTGGGGACCCGGGCCACTAAGGCAGGCGGGGCACTTTATCGGTATTTATAGAAAGCATATGGGTATGCTAGGCTGACTGTTCACACGACTGATCTTCTTGTATTCCGCGGGTTTTCTTGATCTGGATGGAACGAGCTTCTGTCGACCGACCTGCGGGGGACAGAGGTCACAGGCAAATGTTGGGTACTTATACGAGGAAGCAAGACCCTCGCTTCCTCTTTTTGTGCACGCGAACTCATCAGAGTTCACCCTCCTGAGGAGACCTGCGTTGGTGGCGCAAGCGAAACCGGTCGAGGGGTTCCCCCGGTGCAGCGAGTTTTATGCTTGGCAACGAATGAGATCTCGGCTATGGATGCTGTAAACTTGTTTTATTGAAATATTTTTATGTCTTGCAGTATCTCGTCCGGCATCTTGGGTCGTTGCAGAGACCGTGTGGCCGCGGTCTGCCAACTCGTAGGCGCATAGTAACAGTAAGCTGTGTATGCTGAGATGGTGGCTACGTCGACACGTACCTTCGAACTTATGTGATCAGGTGGAGTAAGACTCCTCTGGTGATATGAGAGTGATACACGGTGAGTGACTGGTGGGGACGAGAAGAGTACACGGTGAATGATTGTTTGGATGCTGACACACATCCGGAGTTTGTTTCCTGTCCTAGATAATTTTGGCCAAATGAGTCGGGTACGAGGGGCGGTGAGGACGATTATTGTGGGGCTTGGGGTGATGATCATCGGCTGTGGCTTGTTGATAGTTGGATCTGCACTCTGATAGCTCAGGATGAAGGTGCGTAGAGGACCGACTCATTGCAGGACATGTGGACGAAGGAGGATCGTTATTAGGAGAAGTGATGAATCTTTTCGATCTCAACTGATTAGGTGCATGACTAGACACGTAAGGGCGACTATAAGACCACTGTTCTATATGGCTAGATGTGTTAGCAATGAGTGGACGCGGGCAAGAATGTATGACGGGCTCACACGAGCGTTAATTCTGATTGAGAGAACTCTGATGACCGCTAGATGCAGTAAGAATGTGACTGTTGAGGATATCGCCGAGATCTGGCAGGTTTAGTCGGGTTTTAAATGCGGCGTCTGTTCGAGTTTGAAATATTTGCTTTGCGCGCGGTTTGTCTGTGCGCGTGGTGGGTTTTGATTCCCTACTACTTCTTCGATTGTGTGGGACGTCGTTTCATAATTAGGAAGTATTGAATATTTGGTACAGGCCACAGGAAGCCTGTCTTTCTCTCTCTCTCTCTCTCTCTCTCTCTCTCTCTCTCTCTCTCTTTTCTCTTCTCTCTTCTCTCTCTCTCTCTCTCTCTCTCTCTCTCTCTCTCTCTCTCTCTCTCTCACACACACACACACACACACACACACACACACATAATCAGTGCTCTTGTGCTTGGGCGGCAGTCGTGTGAGAGGAATCCCAGAATCCCGCAATTACGAGGCGCTTTAGACTGCTACGAGGAAGTAGTTTGGTGGAGATGTATCTCACGAACGGCTCGGGTGGTGGGGGAAATACGGGCTACGGAGGATCGGGAAATGGACCGGGAAATGAATTTTCCCATCAAGGGAACCAGGACGGCTCTGGAGGTGCTTTCGCAAATGGCAACAATGTTGTGGTCGGTTCCGGTGGGGTTTGTTATAACTGCGGGAAACCGGGTCATATTGCGCGCGATTGCTGGTCCAAGAGAGGACGACCGTACCAGCAGAGCTTCAACCAGCCGGATCCTGAACTAGAGGAGATTAAGGAGCATCACAGACAGTTGAGGCGGGAAAGACAAGAACTAGAGGAGAGGCGGAGAGCGGAGGAAGAGAAGAAGACCAAGGAGGAAGAGGAACAACGTAGAAACCTGGACTTTGCTAGGAAAATGGAGGAGTTGCGACTGCAGTTGCGTATGGATCTTAACGAAGAATGGCGACGAAGGGAGCAAGAAGCGACTGCTGCGGTGCGAAACACGAAGGGCGCGAAGAACAAAGAGCCATCAGCTGGGAGGAATCGAAAATCCAGGAAGAACAAATGGAATGGGAAGATGTCTAAGAGGGGACAATATTCTGACTCAAGTGAGGGGTCTGAATCGGAGTCAGAATCTGGGTGGGACTCTACGGTCTCGATCTCCACATCGGATGAGGAGGGTAGYAGAGGAAGGAGTCGACGTAAGAAGGAGAAGGGGAAGAAGCGCGGCGCTAAAAAGAAGGTTGGGAAACAGAAGAACAGGAAGAAGGCTGTCTCGCTGGTGGATCTGACTTCAAGGTTCGAGCATGGCGAGTGTTCGAAGCACAGGACTGCTGGACCTGATAGAACACAAGGCGAGCAGAGACAAAACGAGGAGGACCGAGATGAGCGGGAGGAAGAACTGAAGACTCCACTCACCGGAGGATACAAGGGGCTTTCGGCAGGATGCTCTCAAAAGGGGCTGATCGAGTACTGCATCTCTGCCCATAAGATTTACTCAGGGAAGAGTGCACCAGATCTCAGGAAACTATGTGACAAGAAAGGCATCCGCTACACGAGGAAGCCTGAGGTGGTTGAACTGTTAACTAGACAGCAAGTCGAGCTAGCGTACGAAGGATTCGATGAGAAGGAGGAGGAGGAGAGTGCGGATGGGAAGGGTAAGGGGAAAGCCCCGGCGACACCGAAGACTGAAGTTAGGAAGGACCGTATTGTACAAGAGCAGACTGCTGGGAGACAACCACGTATTGTTTTGAGATCTGCACCAGCGCACCCCGAGGAAGGCTCGGTTTGACGGTTCCGAGCTCCCACGAATACCGAGCTATGGGAAAGACTGAACTATTGGCTTAACCAACGCTCGGTCTTGCGGGAGCTCGACGCGTGTGGTGACACAACTAGGAAGGTGGAGTGCGTCATCACCATCACGACTATCGTTCTGACAGCAAGAGGACTGATACCGTGGCTCAAAAAGTATCTTTTGATAACGCAGGATTTGAGTACACTTTTGGACCTTAGCTCCCCGGGGGTGTATGTGGTAGCCAGTCCGTGGTCAAAAAGGACCTACGTGGGCTGTACAGTTAGGCCTATCATGCAGCGCTGGCGTGAACACTGCAGGAACGCTAGGAATTATGCATTGGGTCTCACACCACACCTATACAGATGGCTGAGGACGTTTGGTTTGAGCAGATATGTAGTGCTACCTATTCGACACACAGGGAGGGTAGATGATTATGCATATGATAAATTTATGATTGCTGACTTCTGCCCTAGTCTGAACTCGTGAGATGTTGACAAGCGGGAGATTAGTAGACGAAGGAAGGTGAGGAGAGGCCGAAGGGAAAGGAACGGTAGATCAACACAGACTCGTGTCAAGGACACGGTAGCTGGATGCTATCAAGGGGTTAGCTTTGCATCGGTGTATAGTTGGTTGGATACCAGAAGTGGCATGGGGGGACTGCATGAGACGGTGACGTTCAACAAGGGTGAGGTGTGGATCGATGGTTGGAGAGCAATTAAGAGAAAGTTCGGAGAGACGAGATTGCTGATCGACAATAGGCGGGTACTGCTCAAGAATGCGAAGGAGAGATTGCAACAAGGGGGTACCGTAGTCTTCCGAAGAATCGTGAAGATGAAGACCACGACGGAGAAGAACAAGCAAATGCTCGTATTACTCCTCAAGCGCCAGAGACCAGTCGCACAACTTGCGAATCTGACTACGAACAAGCTGATAGGTCTGTACCGGGCAGCTGGTTGTTTCACGGAGAAAAAGACCAAACTTGCTATACATTGGAGGGTCGATAGCGCAATCAGGAGAAAGGTGGGAACTGGCGTAAGGAGGAAGGTCATTGTGAAATTACGCTTCGATTCCTGCATTTGGAAGAGGGGAATTCGGAGGATGACCGAGCAAGTGATTGATTACAAAGTGCGGGATCAAGCTGTAGCAGGTTTCATGAAGACCAGGATCCGAGTGATTTGGATGAGGAACAAGACTGTGGGTCAGCTGCTTCATAACCAGAAGACCTTTGCAGTGGAGGAGCAATTCCCATGTAAATGTAATGTTCTCAACCTCCCAAAGGTAGAAGGTCACGTTGCAACAAGGTTTGCTGATTTGGAGGACGTGCCGACGTTCCTGCGCAACTCTAGGAACGTCACAAGAGCTAGCACAACTCTAAAGGAGAACACTCTGATCCAGGCGGTCCTCAACGGTACGAAGCGCATCCGGGGACCAGCACCGACGATTATGGTGCCCGAGGGTACCATTGATGTGGGCAGGCGCGCATCTTTGGCCTGGACGGATCTTGAAGTCAGGAGATGGGGCAAGAATTTGAGGGGCTTAGTCCTAGTGCTGGTAGACCGGAATCAGGGGGACACCGCCGTGTTCTGTCCGATTCTGTACAGACATGCGTTTGGGAAAACTTTTCTCTGGAACACTAACTACCACGAGGTCTGCCCGATCGAGTTGGAGGCGGATTTCCTGGCTCGCTGTAAGAAGGATTTTATGGAAGCAGGACTGCATGTTTTTGGCCCATGGCGAGCTGGCGGCAGACTGGGAACCGCGTATGTCATCCCAAAACACAAGGATTTGGGAAGATGGAGGCCAATAGCACCGTCGCCCTCCGACCCTGCACCTGTTACACTGAAGAGGATAACTAGGGCTTTGCATTATCTGCTGCTGAGGCTCCCGGCGAGGGGCTCATTCTACCTCAACTCAGTTGCGGACCTGCGCGAAGGCTTGGAATCGGCAACACGAAGTTTGGACGTCGCTGGCTGCTCACATGTGGTGGGGAGGTGTTATGATATTAAGGAAATGTTTTCGCGGATCCCACATGAAGCCGTGATTCAAGCTGTTGAGCAGCCACTTTGCATGTTTGAAAACAACGGCTGGAAGTCTATGAAAGTGACATACCGAGCAAAGACGTGTGTCATCAGCAACTCGAAGAAGAAGAGTGACGGGTATGTCAGCTTCACACTCCAGGATCTGCTCCGAGGGGTTCGTTTCAACCTCGAGCACTCAGTAATTCGATGTGGTAGGAAGATTATGAAGTAGATTTCCGGTATCCTGATGGGGAAGTCCACGAGCCCTGTTTTGGCCTCTATCACATGTGCTATGGCGGAGTTCCGTTTTCTGAAGCAATTGGGAGCAGACAGGAGGCTGATCCACGGGTGGCGAATCATGGACGACATCTCCATTGTGGTCGGGGTAAAGCAATCGGTGCACAACGAGTTTTCTCTAGAGAGCTTGTTTGAGCGTTTTGAGAAGATCTACGACGAGAACCTTGAAGTCGTACGGAAAGATGACTGTGGCCTGACTTGGCAGTTCGTGGGGGGCTCGATCTTCCTGTGTAGCAAGCCGCTGAGGCTACATTACGTGCCTTTGACAAAGAACACCGAACCTCTGACGGAACGAGGTTGTCTGGTCTTCCAGACGATGCAAGACTTTACTTCTTATTCGGAGAAGAGAGCTAAGAAGGCGGTATTGACCGCGACGGTCTGGAGCTGTCTCTTATACACATCTAGATGTGTATAAGAGACAGCTGGTCTTCCAGACGATGCAAGACTTTACTTCTTATTCGGAGAAGAGAGCTAAGAAGGCGGTATTGACCGCGACGGTCTGGAGATTGTGGGAGCAGTCGACAAGCAAGGCACTGGTTTTGGGTACAGTAGCATGCGCTATCTTCGAAGCTAACCTCCGGGGATACCCCCCGGAGGTCTCTCTCGGTGCCATGGCTGCATTAGCCAAGGCTGCGGACGATAAGGCGCCTAGGAAGATGCTGGATGTTCTGCGGTCCCTGATAGTAGGGCGGCGGGGGCGCCCTTACGGGGGCAAGACGTTTTGAAAACGGGGCCTTTTGGCCCGACGATATTCTACTTGTTTTAGGCCCGGTTGTATTCTATTATGGTCGTTTTTCCGGAAGGCCTTCTGAATTTTCTTACCGATTTTGAAGAATTTGTTTTCA